AAGGCAATTATTAGATACCTATACCTTGTAATTCGATACTAACAAATTAAACGAACTTAATAAATCAATATTCACATTTTTTTCTTTAGGGGGTATTGATACCATTCTTAGGGTATCAGTACCCTCACTGCATTCTGTTAGTTTTTCATTCAAGAGGGTATCGGTACCTTACTGGGGGGTTTCGGTACCCTCATTACATTCTGTGATTATTTGTGTTTGAGAGGGTATCGATACCTATTGAATGGGTACCGATACCCCTAACCCATAAATCACATTTTATACACAAAAATTACTCCAAAACAACTTAATTCTTCTTATATAACCTAATTTTAGAACTTTAAACTTAACTACACTCAGCCTAACCAACTTATATCACTTGAACTCAACTTAATATCCCATATTCCCTCTTAAATTTGGAAACCAAGAATCTTATCATTTTCTCAACATGTTCTAAATTAGATTCTATCACTTCCTATTTCTTAATTCAACGGATAACAAGTCAAATTTAACTTCAAATTTAACTTATCAATTCTTCTTCAAGATTTCACTTAAAAATTCCAAATCTTGAATCCATATTATCTTTTTTTCATCTTGTAGTTTTAATATAACTTAAGTTTTCCTTAAGCTTAAGTATCATATAATGATCAAAACCCAAACTTAATTTCAACTAAACCCAACTAATAAGAAATCTCACCTTAACAAGTTGGAGTCCACGGCTGGAAGAATAAGAAAACTCTGGAGACTTTGATATTTTTCTTCCTCCTCCACGTGGAACCATATATATATATATATATATATATATATATATCATCTCTCAATTAAATTATCTTTCCTACTAAATGATCATTTTGTCCTTCAATTCTCCTACACAATATTTTTTTCATATAAATTTCCAAACTTTTCAATTTATCTACTTTGACCAAATATTCTGAAATATTTCAATTTAGTCACTAACTTGATATGGAGGATGTTACAGTGAGAGCTATTATCAAAACACCTACTACACCACTTACCCAGTCAGCTCTGCCAGTCCATCCCGCTGTAGCACCGCAAGAGTCCCCAATTGAGAAACTCCAAAGGTAAAAGACTATCAATTTTTCAACTCCAGATATGACCCGATAACTATTGATCAGTGGTTGAGAGAGACTCTTAGGATATTCCATCAACTGCACCTTACCCTCTAGGGTATGCTAGAGTGTGTCACCGCCCTACTGAAGAGTAATACTATAGATTGGTGGAAGACAATTGAGATGTTGATGGAGCCTGAGCGACCCACCTGGGAGAACTTTTTGGAGAATTTTTGTCAAAAGTACATAGGTAAGGCTCATACTAATGACTTGAGTTATCAGTTTCTATATTTGACGTAAGAAGATCAGTCTATGTTCGAGTGCGAGAGGGAGTTCCTCTGTTTGAGCCAATATATACCAGTGTTGGTGGTGCCTGCGTATCACCGCTATATGAGATTCAGGGAGGGCCTCCACTTGGATATCCTCACTCATTTAGTCTTCAACCCAGTAAGGGTTTTTGTTGAGTTGTTTTACCATGCAAATGCGATATAGAGGGTTTTGGGTATGAGAGCTAGATCATCTGACACATCTTCTGAACAAAGCAAGAGAGTATGTGAATCTCTGAGACCTTTTCAGCCTTCGACCAAGAGGACGATGAACTTCCAAGGATCTTGTAGGGATCATTCAGGTTAGCCTAGTAGGTCGGGGCAGAGCATAAGAAGATAATGTAGATCTGAACATAGAAGGCCTTAGCATCAGCCGAGTGTCGATGGATCATTGAGAACACATTCCCAGCCTGATTATTTGGTATGTGGTAAGAGGAATTTGGGTTTTCCAACGAGGATCCTGAGGATGTTTTGGTTGTGGTTCTCTTGACCACTTTATTAAAGACTACCTTGAGGTACAAAGCGCGACACCAACATCGACCCATAGTTTAGCTCAGTTATTCTAGATGTAGTTCAATAGGGGTACAATACGATCAATGGTCGATACCAAGCCTAAAGTAACCTTACACCAGTATGCATTCAGGGTCTAAGAGGAGTGTGATATGATAGACAGATCTCAGGTACTTTTAAAGTATTTTCTATTCCAGTTACCGCTTTAGTAGACCTAGGGTACATACTCTCTTTTTTTTGTTATGATCTAGTATGAGAGAGAGAGGTCCTGGTAAAGGATCTTAAAGATTGACGTCCGAGTATCCAATCTATTAGTATTAGACGTCCTAGTGGACAATGTTCACTGTGGATATCCGTTTGAGATCCAAGGTGAGACATTTTTGGTTGATCTAATGGAGCTACCCTTTAGATAGTTTGACATATCTTGGGCACAGATTGACTGTTAGAGCACGATGTAAATTTGAGATGCAAAGCTAAACAACTTAAACTTAGGAAGAGTGGTGGAACCAAGGTAGTGATGGTTAGCAAGAGGTCGAAGTTTACAAGGATTATGTCAGCCATCAAGGCGCAAATGATGATAGATCAAGGTTGTGAAGCTTTCTTGGCTCATGTAATCGACACTTAAATTGCAGTCTCGAGACTTGAGGATATCCGAACTGTTCGAGACTTTATAGATTTTTTCCAGAAGAGTTTCCGAGGTTACCACCCGACCGATAGCTAGAGTTTGATATTGAGGTAATGTCAGGATCCAATCTGGTGTTTATTTCCCCTTATTGCATGGCACTGATATAACTAAAAGAGTTAAAAGCTCAAATTCAATTATTGTTGGAGAAAGGTTTCATCGGACCAAGTATTTCTCCTTGGGAGCGCCAATTATCTTTTTCAAGAAGAAGGACGGGTCGATAAGGTTGCATCAACTACCAGTAACTAAACTAGTCAACTATCAAGAATTGTTATCCCTTCCAAGAATCAATGACCTCTTCGACCAACTTAAGGGAGTATGCATGTTCTCCAAGATAGATCTAAGGTTCGAGTACTATTAATTGAAGGTTAAGGATGCTGATATAACAAAGACAGTGTTTAGGACAACATATGGTCACAATGAATTCATTGTAATTCTGTTTAGACTCACCAATGCCCCAACGATATTTATGGACTATTCATAGAGTATGCCTCACCTTGCCTATCGATAGCATGAGCATTTGACGAACACTTTTAGTATGGTTTAGTTGTTAGTGAGGCACTGGGTTAGTGATCTCAGCATTAGAAATTTTTTTCCGTGCGCAGGTCTTTAGGAGGAGCATTCGAGGAGCCTATCGCGTAGTTGACATTCTACAGAGTACGTTTTGATTCATTTCTTTAGAAGGCATGCATTATTCATAGACCTTCTTGTATTTGAGTCGTAACCCTATTTTATACACTCGATTGTATTATTTTGAGAAACTCATTTTGGGAGCTCCAAATGTAAAAATTATTTAATTTGGTTGATTTATTTTATTTGGAATGACTTTAAATTTTATGATTTTCAAAGGTTCTTAAAGAAAAATTTTGGGTTAGCCACTCCGGTGGTCAAGTTTGGCATTCTAATCGATCGACTTTGTGTTGTATCGGATTAGGGCGTTACATGAAGATTTAGTGGAAGAAAAGGATTTTTGCTTAGTTTTTCATACCTCAAACCTCATATTCTACTCCAAATAAAACCTTAAAAATCAAAAAATGTAAACCTTAAAACTTTAACAGAGGTAAGAATGAAGATGTTGAATAGGTATATGAAGGTTAACTTCCGAGTCTTTTTGTTGAGTCTTTATCGAAGAAGGTTTCAAGAAGACCTTGGAGGAATTTCTGGTTTGAAAATGGAAATGTTGAATAGGTAAATGAAGGTTAATTTTCGGTTCTTGAGAATGGAGATTATCGACCATTTTTTGCCCAAAAATCATCACTGGTACCATTTCAAATCATAGTCTTTAAAAGTAATGAAATTCAATGCCTTTCAGCACTTGTTTTAGGTCTCTTTGTTGCAAATTAAAGCAAATCAATTGTTAGGAGTGATGATGGTGATAGAAGTGATGGTGGTGGAGATGATGTCAAGGTTTATGAATTTACTAATAGGAGATAAAGTGATGAAAGTTATTGTTATTGTCGATGGGTCGTTAAATTACAGAGGAGTTGGGGTTGGGGGAAGGAAGGTGGTATTGCTGAAAAAAGAGTTAATTTCGATAGTGTATTTATTTTATTTAGATAAAGAAAATAAAAATTAAGAGGTGACATGGCGTGTTCTGATTTGTCCGTGAATTTTTTTAATGGTGTTAACGATTTGGGGCAAACGAAGTAACGATTTAAAGTTAAGTGGGCAAAATATCCCAAAAAATACTTTAAAGGGCAACTCGACACAAATGAATAGTTCAGGGGGCAATGGTGCATTTAAGCCTTAAAGGATTAAAAAAATTAGATTAAAAACTTTTGGTGAAACTTTGCATTTAGTACCTAAACTATCAGTTTTGATCTGTTTTAGTACCTAAACTTTCTTTTTTAACCATACCTAATGTTTAGTTTTGTTTCATTTTAGTACCCTTCTTTAAAAATATAAAGCGTTTAGTACATACACTATTAGTTTTGGTTCGTTTCAGTACCTAAACTTTTAATTTTTTTAAAACTTAAAACTTTTAATTTTTTTAAAACTTAAAACTTTTAATTTTTTTAAAACTTAAAACTTTTAATTTTTTTAAAACTTAACATTAAGTTTTTAACAAAAGTACTAAAATGAAACAAAAACTAAAAATTAGGTATTATTTTGAAAAAATTGAAAATTTAGATATTAAAACGGACTAAAACTGATAGTATAGATGCTAAACTCTTAATTTACCCAGAAATAATTCATTTCAATCGGTTGACTAAACCGACGGATAGAACACCCCTCCCTACCTTTTTCTCACTGGTATCTACCAGTCATACAGATGGTGCTTTCAGATTGGGATTTGGTTAGGGGGTGCAATTTTTGGACCACTTTGCACGTTATCCACTCAAAGCAAGCAGCTTTTACGTAGTGTATAACCATAGCGTTTACCAACCACCTCTATTATTATGGATTCATAGTAAATTACTTCTTTTTGTTCTCACCCAACTCATCTAGCAGCAATGCCGAAGAAGCGGGTTATAGTTCCGGCGCAGAAACTAGACTTTTCCACCGTCAAATACCAGCAACAAACAGTCCAAGGTATCAATTTTCTTGAATTACATACGTGGGGAATGTGAACTTGGGAATTCGATACTATTTTTTTCCTTTTTTTTTGTGTTTGGATTAATTGCGGGTGCAGCTCCTCATTTGACGGGATTTATACTGAAGTTGTTTGTGAGGATAATTGAAGCTCCAATTATTGGTTCATTGATCATTTCATTCATGAAAAAGAAGAACAAAATTGTCGAGGTTCGGTTTTATTATCCTTGTTCCTCAGTTTAAAATATGAGTGTATTATCAAGAAAATTTTAATGGTGATTTTCATGTTTGGTATTTGCAGATGTTGCAGAACACTGAGATTCCAGAAAAACCCATGTTTAAGCCTGAATTCCCTCCTCAAGGTTTATTCTATTACCGCTTTTTTTTCACTGTTTTGTTATCTGTTTCATTGTGATTTTAGAAGAAACTTCTATGCTTTGATGACAAGTGTACCATGTTTCAATGTCTAAGCTATGGACATTAATTTGACATGATGAGTAATTTGGAAATAGTAATTTGATAGTAACAAAATCTGAAATTGGGAGCTCCAAGATAGCCATTGACATGCTTTTAATGGTAATATGTTGGTTTATGATAAGTCTGAGAATGAGAAATGAGGAACCAAGCAAGAAACATACCAATTGGCTTTCACTATTTTGTATGATATCAACCAGAAGCAGAACCTTCAGTAGTCATTGTGGATGAAGAAGGAAAACCTACAGACCGAGTTGAATCTGCCTTAAAGTGTCTCCCCCATTATGATCCTGCTAGTTACTGGAGTGAGGATCCGCTTCCATCATTCCGGTATTGGAAGATTCGTGATTATGCTTATGCTTATAGATCGAAACTTGTGACACCTTCTACGGTAAGTCACCATTAAATGCTAGAGGGTTGTTTTTGTTCTAAATCAATTACAATGAAAATTCTCTCTTTTTGGTTTCTTTTATTTTCTCAGTTACCAAACACTGATTTTATCATCTAGATAAGTATCTTACATTTGGTTTATAGGTAGCAGAACAAATCATCTCAGTAATTGAGGGGTGTAACTATCATAAGCCCCCAACACCATTGTTGATCTCATTTGAGGCCGAGGATATAAGGAAGCAAGCTGCAGCTTCAACAAAAAGGTTTGAGGAAGGTATTTTTGTTGTGAAGCTTTCTCATCCACATATTATGGTTACCATATGATTCCCATCTACATTAGAATTAGAAAGTCAAATAACTAAAAAGAAACTTTTGCTGTGAGTCGTCCAGGAAATCCATTGTCAATTTTGGATGGAATTTTCATGGCAATCAAGGATGACATAGATTGCACTCCTCATCCAACTAAGGGTAAATAAGCTCATCAATTATTTTCTAAAAGAATGTTTCCTATTGTTTTTCCTTTTTTAGTGGCAGGAAAGACAGACTAGAATATTTATATTTTATGACAGGTGCATCAACATGGATGCATGGAGTTCGGTCTGTTGAGAAGGATGGGGTTAGTGTCTCAAGATTGCGGAGCTGTGGTGTGATTCTTATTGGAAAGGCCAGCATGCATGAATTTGGCTTGGGCACAACCGGAAACAATCCAAATTATGGGTAAATTTGTAGTTCTCCAGATGTATAAAAGACACATGATTCAATATGTTACTTCAGTAATGTTTTTATGAGTGGCTTGTATGTACCTTTTATGGCTAGAATAATTAAACCACAAATTTCTAAAACTTATCTCATATATACATGTGTGTGTGTGTGTGTTTAACTTGTAAATGTATTGGGGTACAGAACAACCAGAAACCCTCATGCACATGAAAGATATACAGGTGGATCCTCCTCTGGTCCTGCAGCAATTGTAGCTTCTGGACTATGTTCTGCTGCCCTAGGAACAGATGGTGGAGGTTGTAAAATTTATTACCTTTTCAAGTCTTGTTTATGTCATTTACAATGTAATAACATTCTATTGCTTAACTGAATAAAAAAAGGCAGGTTCTATTCGCATTCCTTCATCCCTTTGTGGTGTAGTGGGCTTGAAAACAACTTATGGAAGGACGAACATGGGAGGGTAAGCTCTTCTTCGAGGCTACATAACAGAGAACTGATTTATATTTTATTGAAAACATAAGAATATTTCATTGTTGGTTACCATGGCAATTGTAAACTAGAATTCTTAATGCTCAAGCAAGCCTCTTTTAAGATCTTCAGGACTAAATTTATTGTTTTTGCAATGCTTTATATCTGAAGATCATTATGTGGATCTGGGACTGTGGAAATCATTGGACCAATAGCATCAACAGTGGAAGATGTCATACTAGTGTAAGAATCTGGTGCTTGCCAATAGGTTTTATAATTGGTGTGGTAGCATGTTGATGTAATCTCTAAGCAGTTAGACCATGCAAATTCTGTAATTCTGGTAAACTGGGCAGCTGAACTTTCTGACTGGTGAGAAATATTGGTAGCTGGTGTTTTTGTAATATTGCTAACTGTGCTGAGACCTTTCTTCAGGTATGCAGCCATTTTGGGTTCCTCTCCTGAGGACAGAATCAGTTTGAAACCGGTAGCCTCTATTTGTCCAAAAATATTACCTCTGCTGAGTTTAAGCTAGTCAGTCTTGCATATTTCCATTGCATTTATTATTTAATCATTGTTGTAACGTATTTTGTAGTGCCTCCCTTGTTTGCCTGTTTTGTCATCACTTGAGAATTCAAACATTTTGGGATCATTGCGACTGGGGAAGTATACAGAGGTAAACTGGAAGTAGATTGAGTACAAGTAGTTCTTTCTTGTAATAAATATATCTTAGTGTGCAGTTTTCCCTTGCAGTGGTTTAATGATGTTCATTCAACGGATATCTCTGATGTCTGCGAGGATGTTCTCAACCTTCTATCGAAAAACCATGGATGTAAGGTAAGTTGGTAAGCATTGGTGTTTGCTGTCTGTTCCCATTTTCTTTAACCTTATAATTTGACATACTCATGTTTTATAACTGATGTTATGCTTCAAGACAATAGAGATAGTAATACCAGAACTACATGAGATGCGTACAGCCCATCTTGTTTCAATTGGATCTGAATCGCTACGCTCGCTAAAGCCTGATATAGAGGACGGGTAAACTTATCTGCTTTAGAATATTTACCTTAACTAAACTGGGGATTTATATTGTAGTTCTCTATCTTCAATACCTTGTTTCCTTCTAAATTCTGTAGGAAAGGTGCGGAATTGACATATGATACTCGCATTAGTATGGCACTTTTTCGAACATTCACCGCATCAGACTACGTTGCTGCCCAGTGTCTTAGGTAAGGTAAAACTGGCAACAGTATGATTTACAACTCTGTTGCTGATCTTGTACTTTGTGGTAGCTGTTTGCAACTTGTGAGCATCTCAAAATTAACAATAACAAACAAAAAAAAGATATAGCACATAAAAATTCCTCAACATTTATTATCTTTAAAGGGGAAAATGCTTTAATTTTTCAGAAAATAATGTCTTTTAGATGTTAGAGATATTTTTAATCTGGTTCCCACTTTAAATCTTCTCTTTAAAGATCTGCCATAACATGCTGGTCTTCTTATAATGGAACTGTGAAATTCTATTCTATTGAAAAGGGGAAGTATAATGAAGAGAAGCGAGGGGAACAAAGAAAGGGCAACACATCGTAAACCAAAAGAAGAATGATGGAATGAGGGAAAAATGGACCTAACTAGCTGGTTGGACCGAGAGAACTCAATGTTTTTCTGGTTCAATACTATGCATATAACATGATTTTATTGAACCGGTAAAAAAAACAAGTTCTTTTTAAGGTTCTTTTCTTAAATGATAAGATTTGAATCTTAGCTTCTTAGTTTTATAATGAATCCCATACCACCAATTCAAATTCATATGCTTTTTAATTGTTTACTATATTTATTATTATTTTAACAATAAATTTAAATTTGTCTTTTTGAATATTTAAAAATGTTTTTGATCAAACAGACCAGTCCAATTGGTTCAACTAGTTGGATTAAAAACCAAAAATCTAACTGGTTTGCCATTAGTCTGGGTTTTTTTTTTACCTTGGAATGTTGAAGATGATCAAGGAAGGGAGATAAAGGGAGTATCATTGCATTGAAGTTGTTGATTTGAATCTGAATAACTCAAAATGTAGTCTTTACTTATACAGGAAGTTTAGTAAAAGAAAGAGAAGAAACAAAGTAAAAAAAGGGCATCATGTTGAGGCACATTCTTTGAAATTTCACACTTCTATTTTCTTGATCCAACATCCGATGAAAGCTTTTCCCTTCCCCGCCCCCCTTACTGGCTTAAAATTTGAATGCATTTGTTACTTTCTATTTGTCCTGACTTGTTTCAACCTTTCAGAAGAAGGATAATGCACCACCACATGGAGATCTTCAAGAAGGTTGATGTCATAGTGACCCCAACAACTGGGTATGTGAACTTAACCATTTAACCATTTTGATTAAATTCTTATCAGTGGGCTCATCTGTCATCACTATTTGCAACAATTTCTGGTAATGAACTGATTCAAGCCCCTTCTTTGAAGTGTTTGACCTTCAAAAAGTTCTCCTGTTTGACTAAAACATGTCATTCTTGGCTTAAGTAGTTAATTATAGTGTGTCTGTGACTAATTACCAAATCATTAGAAAGAAGGGAAATGGGGTAATGTAACTTGACAAACTAGCAGATACCATTATATCTATATCCTGCAGGAACTAATTCTGCAAAATCTCTCCTGGTTTAAGAAGTAATTCTACTCCCATGCATAGTTTGCATATGAGTTTCTTTCAGTAATCTTTGCACTAAGTTACACTTAATTTCTTTCTGTAATCTTTGCACTAAGTTCCACTTAATTTCTTTCTGTAACCTTTGCGCTAAGTTACACTTAATTTCTTTCAGTAATCTTTGCACTAAATTACCCTTTTCTTCTTTGTTTTGGGGGGCACAACAGCATGACAGCACCAAAAATACCACCTAGTGCTCTGGAAAATGGAGAGTCAGACATGCAGGTTACAGGTTTGTCATCCATGTTGCTTCAACTCTTCATTTTTCTTGAAATAACCATATCCAACTCCCATAAATGTATATCCAGACAAGGGTATGGGCAGATGATTCTCCAAACACGAAAAATCTTAAAACTTGCTTTGGACACATACTCATACTTGACACTCGCACCCTAGTTGGAGTAACATAACTTGGCATCATCATACAGAGTGACATATGAGCTTACTTTTTTTATCTTTTATACTGTGGTTCACTTTTTTATAGGTTACCTTATGCGGTTCATTATTGCTGGTAATCTTCTTGGTCTTCCTGCCCTTACTGTCCCTGTAAGTGATATGCATTTCTTTCCTCCTTGATTATATATTAAATTAACAATTGACGAGAGAAAGGGGTCAAAACACGAATCTAATAATTCTATTATGGAGCAGACCAGTTTGGCATACTTACAGGAACATTTGTTTTTCATACAGCTTTTGCTGCTAAGAATTCGAACATCTCACTTGAACTTTACTTATTTTTAGTCAAGGATCCAGGAAACCTTGGAGTGGGTTCCTTTGCTATCCTTGAGCAAAGGAATGCTTGAGAAAGTCTTGGCCTCTTGGATTTGAAAGGTCGTGTCTGAGCACAGCCTTCTTACTTGAGGTCCCAAATTCTATAGTACATTTTGTTAGATTCGATTATGGCTTGCTGCATAGCAGGGAGCAAGACAAGCTGTAGTTGAGTCAAGTTCAAACTACCCCTGGCAACACTATAGCTTGGGTTTCTTTTTCCAAACTAATTAAACTTTATGTTCTCTCTGGACCTGGAAACATAAACCGGCTAAAAGGGTGGAGTTTATCATGTTCTACCGTAAAGAATACCCAAAACTGTTGTAGTGAAACCATCCGAACTTGTGGCTCATTTTCTTTCTTCTTATGCTGATTCCAGGTTGGTTATGACAAAGAAGGACTTCCCATAGGTTTACAACTAATAGGCCTTCCATGGGGTGAAGCTACAATTCTACGTTTGGCTTCTGCAATCGAGGTATAAACAAGTTTATGTTCCTTGAAAGAGAATGCTCTGAAGTCTGTATTCGAGGTTGCATAACTAATTATAAGGCAAACGTCTCATGTTTCCAGGAACTTTGTATCAAATCCAGGAAGAAACCTGCTTCATTCTATGACATCTTAAAGGCCAAGTAAGAGCCTTCATGGACTATGTTTTATTGCAGATCCTTATGTTGTCTCTTCATAATCACCAATAACGATGCGTCTCTAAACATCGTTATCTTATTTGATGTATGAATAAGCTATGTCTGCTATAATTCTGCCAAACCATGCCTGAAAGAAACCGATGATCTATTTGATTCTACTACAATGTTGTGTGAAACTACCAGCTGTTATTAACTTCTGTTTTAGGTTACCTCCTACAGGTTTACTTACCCATAAGCTACATGGATTGTACTTCTGAGAAGCAAATAGTTGTCATGTATTGGATATTAAAATTTCACGTGTATAATTAAATGAAATCGAAGTTCTTGTGTCACACTTCATATTCGCAATATGTGCATGCTCATATCATATACATATATAGACAACACTCAGTCGTGATAAAAACATGAATAGACTCCATTGACAGTGTCTTGGAAACAGAGCATGAGCTCAGATTGTCATGGTGCAATTCGCTACTGCCCTTTATATTCTAGAGCTTACTTTCACCCTAATTGGCAACTGTTATCATGAGCTTTATGCAGCCCCGGAGTTCCCTTGGTGCCGGAGGATTAGGTATGTTTTGGGTCCTCCGGTGGCTATGAGGCAAAGAGTAATATACGGAGGACCTTTGAAGGGGTGTAACAAATGTTATTTTAGATCTCATTAATCTTGATTTATTATAGAGGAACTCAAATCAATATAATTTTATCATATTGATTTTATCTGTAAATTTAAAATACAATAAATCAAAATTTTAGACTTAAAATAAACAAAATAAAACTCATGAATAATATTTTGGTATAATTTTATCTTATTATCTTTCTAATAAATTTATTTTAAAAAAAATAATATTTAATGTTTTTTAAAATTCGAATAAAGTATTATAGTCATTTTCACATTAGAATCCAAATAATTATTTAATCTTTTCTGATGCCACAAGCAAAAGAGAACATTTTGTAAACTGTGGGAGCTTTAGGGTCGGTTTGGTTCTAGAAAACATCTTCTACTTTTATTTTCTGTATTTGTTTTTAGAAAATAATTTTTATTTTCAATTTTTTGAAAATTAGAAAATTTGTTTGGTTAATATAAATGAAAACTTGAATTCAAAACTAAAATATTAAAAAAAATATTTATTATCTATTTTTTAAAATAGAAATAAAAAGAAAGTCATTAAATAATTATAATTAAATTATAATTATTAAAATTTATTATATAAATTGAACATATGAGTTATACAAATAGAAAACAATAAATTTGATAAGAAATTACATAACACAAAATTATTTTAGTGTATAATAACAATATAATGTTAAAGCATATTAGACATTAATTAAATTTTAAAAATACACAAAATATTGTTATAAGTAATAAGCACATAAAAATGTCATTAACATACAAAATATGTTTAGTGGTAATTGAAACCCTCAAGTTTTTAAGAAAGATAATTAGTTTAGTCTTTGAACTTTTTTTTGCACCAAATGTGATCGTTAAACTTAGAAAAAGAAATTAATCTAAGTCTTTGAACAACTGAATCAAACGTTAACTGTCACGACGCTTACATGACAGTTCACAAACTTACATGGCAATCTAGAATATTAATGTGACAGTTCACGATACTGTTTTGACAGTACTCGATGGATGATGATGTGGTAGATGTATTTAATTGATTATTTTAGAAAGTTGAGGACTTATTAATTTTTAAAATATTAAAAATTTATTTAAATATAAAATATAAAATATAAATAATCATTAAGATTTTCAATAAATTAAATATAAAATTACTACAAAATTAAATTATTAAAAATTAATTTAAAGATTATATTGAGTGTAAAAAAAGTTTAGAGATAATATTGACTTTTATACAAAAATTTGAAGGTTTCGGATAGCATTAAATATTTTTTTTTTGTTATAATGATTTAAACACGAGTAATTTAAGTTAAAAATCTAGATATATTGTTTTCTTATTTTTAAAATTTTCAAAATAATTTTAAAGAAAATATTTAAAACAATTTTTTATTTTTTTTATATTTTCATATTTTAACTCATTTTTATTTTTATTTAAAAAATAATAATTTTCTAATTCTTAAACTAAATATATTTTCTTCCAAGATTTCTATTTTCTAATACCAAACAGACTATTTGTTTTAACGAAACAATATTTACTACAAAACTATTTCTGTTGTTCTTTCTTCTTTAATTATTATCAATCTTACAAGAATGAAAAATATTTAGTGTAAACTGCAGCTCCAGCTTTGATTTTTGACAGAAGAAACAGAAGCAGAGCAGAGAATAAAAACAGAGCCAAATGTATGGGTTTCAGCCTTTTAGTCCACAGCACCATTTTCGCAAACTCTCTTCACTCTGAGCATGTCTTCTCCTCCTCAGGCCAGCTTCTTTCTTTCTTTCTTTCTTTCTTTCTTTCAAGCTTCTTATTCTCCATATTTTTTTACCATTTTCGCAAACTCTCTTCACTCTGAGCATGTCTTCTCCTCCTCAGGCCAGCTTCCTTCCTTCCTTCTTTCTTTCTTTCAATCTTTCAAGCTTCTTATTCTCCATATTTTTTTACCATTTTGTGTTCCTTGTATGCCTGATTTGGATGTTTGTAACATGGGTTTAACTGCTTTTCTAGTTGTTTATTTGTTTTTGCATCTTTAGTTGCTGCACCTGCACTGCTCGTCCATTTTTTGTATTTAACTTCCATTATTTAGTGTTTAGATTCCTTAGTACTCGGTTTCTCTTTAAAGTTCATATTTTTGAGGTTTTCCGAACTAATCTGATTTGCCTCCTTGAAAGAAAAATTTGCCAGCATTTCCTTGGTGTTTAGTTTCAGTGATGAAAAATTTCCTTTTGATTTTGGTGTTGTCTCCGAGGAATAGTAATGCTTGAAATCTTGAAATCTGAGCAGTTTATTATAAGATCCGGAGTGTAATTATATGTTCATTTAGACAAATTATGGCATTTTCATTTAACCTAGGATTTTAGCATTGAGTACTAAGAGATAATTTCCATTGTGATCATCAAGCTGATAGATTATCAACTCTCTCTAAGGAGTCAAAACCCCTTTTACATTTTTTGTAATTATTTGCAGGTTGGAGCTGAGTATTGATTTGTTTTCCTGTATCACTGAAAATGCAACCAAAACATGGCTGGCACTCTATCATGCCGCTTCGTTTCTGAGGAAGTTTCTCTACCCGGTTTTGCGTGTTTCCGAATGTAAAGTCGGCAGCAGGCTGCAGTCCTGACGAAGCTCCGGTGTACCTAAATGTGTATGACTTAAAAACTGCTAATGGCTATGTTTATTGGGCTGGTCTTGGTATCTTTCACACTGGGGTTGAAGGTTAGCTTTGTTTCTTTGTTCATCCATTTTCATGGACATTTCTTTTTAATGAAAGATGAAACTGTTCTAATTTTCTCATAAAGTCATTGTAGCTATTGGCCTATTGCTTTTGCTACAATGTGATCACATCAGCACCGGTGAAGCATAAGGTTTTGGTCTATAGTTAGGCTTGGATGACAGGAACAAACAGTGGATTGGTGCACATTATCTTGTATCGGAAAATTAGCATTAACCCTCAAATTGTTTATTGAATGAACTTATTTGTCGTAAAACAGAACATTACTTAGTTTTGCATTGTTTTCTTTTATCCTCATGATGTTGAAACTGGTTTCTTATTATACCTGTGAGTGCTTACAGTTCAAGGTGTGCGGTATGCTTTTGGAGCTCCCCAACAAGTGGTGTGTTCGAGGTCGAAACTCGACAATGCCCCAGCTTCAACTTCAGGAAATCGATTTTCATGGGAACAACATGCTTGGATCCTGTTCAGCTAAGAGAGTTCATGGAGCACCAATCTGCAAGTTACAACGGTGACTCGTATCACTTGATATTCAAGAACTGCAACCATTTCTGTGATGATATATGTTACAAGCTGACAGGCAACCATATACCGAAATGGGTGAATCGGACTCGCAAGAATTGGTCGGTATCATAACGCTTCGAGACTAAAATTCTTTCGGGTCAAACATATGTTTACTAAAATGCTTCGGCATATATGTTGATGTTCTTTTATTGATCCTCCTTGTAGGTTCATTGTGCAACTGCATACTCCCTGAGGCTCTTAAAGCATCTGCAATGCGCCACGACCCAAACTCCCGACCCGACAGCGAAAAGAAGAGACTAAGAAGTGCTTCGAGTTTCTTATCATCAATGTCGATGCCGCACAAGGAAGTACCGATGTCTTCGATCTTTTTGCACTCTCATTATAAAGGCCGTCTACCGCCATGGGAGTTGAAGAGATCTAAAAGCAGTTCATGGAAAGAAAGCTTTGAAGCAGTGGTGTAACATGAGTGGGCCAAAATCTGTACAAGTTTCGTCTTTTTCAATGTCAATGGGGGGTTTTATTTGATATGCAAAGTTTGTACTCATAACAGTAGAAGTTCCATACCTTCCATTGCTCCGGGTTTGGTTCAGAAGACTCTAAAATTAACCCTGCTAATTTTGTATCCTCCAATCATATTTCCATGTATTATCAAGACTGTTCGATCATATCTAGTCCCAAATAATCTATGATAAGTCTACTTTTATTTTTAAAATTGAGTTTTATAAAAAAAAATTCTGAACATTCGTGTCTCTTTTAACATAAAATAATAATAGTAAAAATCTAGATTGGGGACCGTTTTGACATTTCCTATTTATTCGGATGACAAGGAAAAATGGATAATAAAATCCAATGGCAATTTCAAAAGTAGATAACTGTCAAAAATATTATTTTAATAATCATAAAAATATTTTTAATGTTTTGTAACAATAATATGTAAAACTTTGATAACACTATTTATATATATATAACACTATATGTTTTGATAACATTATATCACTTAAATTATTAAATTCAATCTTTAATTTCTCTTATTCAATGATCCTATACATACATATATACATATATACATAAAATAAGATCCGAGTTTTACACTAATTTATAATTATTATATTTAAATAAATAACTTAAATTTAATTAAAATTTATAAATCATAAATAAATATCTTTTAATTCACAATAAAAATATATATATTTTTATCTAATCTCAAATTTTAAACCTTAGAACCTAAAATCTCAAACCCTAAGATCCCACCATAAAGCTTAAATCTTAAAACATAAACCCTTAATCTTAAATCATAAATCTTAAACTTTTATTTCCGACGACGAATGGGTTTCTCGATGGCGCTCTTCGCACTCCAACGGCGTTGCTTTCCTCCACTCAACCAGAGCTAAGCAACTTTCCTTTTTCTCCTTTCTCGATATTTATGTATTTCTCTTTTGGGTTTCAACCGCCTAGAACTCACCTCATTTTCATGTTTTTGCTGCTTTATAGGCGCTTGGAGATGCATATTTTCATGTTTTTGCAGTGGCTTTATAGGTGCTTAGAGATGCATATTTTCTTCTTAATCGAAGGATTTGATGCCTTTTGTTCACTCAAAAAAAAGATTCACTGATTTGATGTAATGATTCTTTACTTTTTCGTTTTGATACCTTTTGGATGTTGATTTGTTTTGGGTTTGCTCCGATTTAATCTTGTTGCCGTTGTTAATTTTGGTTTGATTCTTTCTCATTTTTGGTTTGATCCTGTTGACTGTCATGATTTTGTTCCCTATTGTTTGAGATTTGGTCTTTGATTCCCTATGTTTTTTCAATACAATAGTGGGGAGAATACAATCTTTCCATCTTCGTCGGCGCATGGCCTTCACGCGCCATTTTTAGTCGGTTGGTGACCTTTCGAAAGTTTCTCGATGCTTTCTGGCCATTGGATCAAGGGACCAGATCCAAAAATCCTTTTTCGGTTGTGTAATTGAGATAAATTTTAGGGTTTAAATCCCTAAGTGTTACACGGTCTGAACTGTAAGATCAAAACCTTATCCAATGGCCCAAAAACATACGGCGCTAAATTGAGTTGGAACCTCTAGCTAGCTGGGTCAGGCGAACAAGCTTTCCCTGTTGGGCTTGACAGGCCTACGCTAGACTTGGACTTACTAGGCTATTTAAGACTGGACTTAGACCTGAAAAATAAAATAAAAATAGTAATAATAATAATATAAATATATTATTGTCGCAACCGTCTTTCGGTTGGGCCCCAGAATTGGGCTTCGACTTGAAAAATGTGGATTGGAGTCGCCACCGATCATTTATTTAAAGATAAATGGGTTGATCGGATACCCTATTTCTTACCTGATCTGCGTCTTACCAGAAATATGTCGGGCTCGGGAGTCGGTTACGGTCAAGGAAGGATTAGCACCCTTGAACCGCCCTTTCGGTACTACGTAATTTCCAGTTGTCTTAATTAAGAAAAATAACAAGTTAAATTAAAAGATAAAATAATGATCCAAAATTACTTACCTTTGACGGATTTACAATACCCTTTAAAAGTCAAAATATGGGTTAGAAGAGATGAATAAATGATAAATAAAGTAAAACAAATAAAATAAGGAGATTAAATAAGAAATAAAGTAAATATAAAATGAATAGAATATATAAAATAAAAAACAATAACACTAATATATGCACAGCAAACAACTAAATAAAAATAAAATGATAATGCAAATAAATAAATAAAACAAGTAAAAGAATATAAAAACATAAAATATAGGATAAATATAAAAATAGATAAATAAATGAGTAAAATATATAAAAAAAGTAAAAGCATATATATATAAGTAAAATAATAATAATAAAAAAAAAGAAAATCAAAAGTAATATACGTATATATACATGCAAAATAGGAAATATATATATATATAATAACACTAATAAAAAACATATATACATATATAATAAAATTAATAGAAAGTAATATGCATATATAACAAGAATAATAAAGTAGGAAAAAAATGATTTAGGGGGGAGAATTAAATATTTTAAAAAAATGAACACGCCTCGGGAGTAGATCTAGGTTCGAAACTTCGAAATTCCACCCTTTTTTAGTCATCGGTGCAACCCACGTTTTGGGTTATTCGAACCAAATCTCAAGAAAAATAACGTGCACATGCGAGAAATGAACGAACCAATGTAAAAAAAGATGCTACCTTTTATTTCCTTTTCGAATCGTTTACAACAACTTTGCCTTTGTATTTTCCGTGCTTTCCTCTGTGTTTTGTGTGTAAATCGTGTCTTCAAATGGTGAGTTACAATGGCTATTTATAGTGCTTGTGGATCCTATCTTTAGGAATTTAAATAATAGTAGAACTCTATCCTATTTTTAGGAGTTTGAATCCTAGCAAAATTTTATCCTATTTTTAGGAGTTTGAATCCTAAAATTCTATCATATTTTTAGGAGTTTGAATCCTAGTAGGACGAAAAATGTGTGTTGACAGCTGCCCCTCTTTGCCCATAGTCGTGTAACGGGGATAGAGCAAAGATTAAAAGACACACTTTTCGTTCAGTGGAGTTGAAAATTAACTCTGATGTTTCAATAACTCCCTGTCGAATTGAGTTACGGATGACTCCTCCATCGTGAAGTCGAGTTCATCTTGAAATGATATGAAATTAAAACCGTAGTTCATAATTTGAATCGGCACGTGACTTCCCGTTACCCTTCGGTCTTCTTCTCGGTTTAAAGACCTTGGATCGGAATTGAACTCAGAAATCTTCATTGACAGATAGCTTTTTCTTGACTTAAGCTATGTTGTTTGAAAATGGTTGCTTGTCACTAAGGCACGGCTAACCCAGGTCCTCTTCTCGACTTGAAAACCTCGACTGCAACCGGAAAGTAGTGCGATTGATGTGTCATCGAGCTGAATGGAGTCGAACTCGACAATTTTGATGGCAGATAATCCTTCTTTGAGTTGGATATCCTTCGTCGTGAAGTTGAAATCCAAGTAAGTAGCATTGTTCCAAGTCCAATATCCTCCGTCGTGAAGTTGAAATTGGCTCTGGAACCGGGAAATTGTTTGTTGACAACCAGCCGTCCCTTCGTTGTGAAGTTGAACTTGTGTTGTCTCGAGTCCAATATCCTTCGTTGTGAAGTTGAAATTGAATCTGAATGAAATTTTGTTGACAAGCAGCGGTCCCTTCGTCGTGAAGTTGAACTTGCGTTGTCTGGAGTCCAATATCCTTCGTTGTGAAGTTGAAATTGGCTCTGAGATTGGGAAGTTGTTGTTGACAAGCAGCGGTCCCTTCGTCGTGAAGTTGAACTTGCATTGTCTGGAGTCCAATATCCTTCGTTGTGAAGTTGAAATTGGCTCTGAGATTGGGAAGTTGTTGTTGACAAGCAGCGGTCCCTTCGTCGTGAAGTTGAACTTGCGTTGTCTGAAGTCCAATATCCTTCGTTGTGAAGTTGAAATTGGCTCTGAAATTGAGAAGTTGTTGTTGACAAGCAGCGGTCCCTTCGTCGTGAAGTTGAACTTGCGTTGTCTGGAGTCCAATATCCTTCGTTGTGAAGTTGAAATTGGCTCTGAAATTGAGAAGTTGTTGTTGACAAGCAGCGGTCCCTTCGTCGTGAAGTTGAACTTGCGTTGTCTGAACTCCAATATCCTTCATTGTGAAGTTGAAATTGGCTCTGAAATTGAGAAGTTGTTGTTGACAGGCAGCGGTCCCTTCGTCGTGAAGTTGAACTTGCGTTGTCTGAAGTCCAATATCCTTCATTGTGAAGTTGAAATTGGCTCTGAAATTGAGAAGTTGTTGTTGACAGGCAGCGGTCCCTTCGTCGTGAAGTTGAAATTGCGTTGTCTGGAGTCCAATATCCTTCGTTGTGAAGTTAAAATTGTCTCTGAAATTGAGAAGTTGTTTGTTGACAACCAGCCATCCCTTCGTTGTGAAGTTGAACTTGTGTTGCCTCGAGTGCCACGATATCCTCCTTCGTGGAGTTGAAATCGCAGATGGCCCCTTCGTTGTGAAGTTGAGCCTTGACTTGAATATCCTTCGTCGTGAAGTTGAAATCCAAGTATTGTATGTTGCGGGTGGACACAATTCCCTTCGCCGTGAAGTTGAAACCGTGAAGACCCCTTTATTGTGAAGTTTGGCTTCGAGCTAGATATCATTCGTCGTGAAGTTGAAATCCACTCTCGAGCAAATCGTGTCGCTTTGAGTTCAATATCCTTCTCCGCGAAGTTGAAATTGACTCTAGCTAAAACCTGAAAAAGTTATGCATATATGTGATGCTATGGATGCAATGCTCTTAGGTGTGCCTAAAATGCATATGCAACATATATTATCTTGGGGCTCTGGAGAGAAATCTCGATCTCCAGTTGCCTGCTGGAATCTTGATTCTTGAATCTTCAAATTTTGATCTCTGATCTTGAATTCTTCAAATGTTCAAATCTGATGTGCACATTCTATTTTTGATTTGAGAAATGCTTCTCGACCATCTCAAGTATGTGCCTGAGCTGAGTGTAACGGTTCAGATGATGCTTCAAAAGAATTTGTCTTGAAAGAGATAGAATTCGTTTCAAGGGAAACGATCTCAAAGATATCTGTTGTTTCATGAGAAACGGTCTCAAGGGGAAACAAAATTATGTTTTAAGGGAAATAAATTTGAAGATTTTGTGTTTCAAGAGTAACTGTCTCAAGGGAGACAAAATTTGTTTTAGGGGAAATAAATTCAAAGGTTTTGTTTCAAGGGAAACTGTCTCAAGATAGACGAAAATTGTTTCAAGAGAAACTGTCTCAAGAGAGACAAAACTTAGTTCCAAAAGAAACTGTCTCAAGGGAGACGGAATTTGTTTCAAAGAAAACATATTCAAATATTTTGTTTCAAGGGAAACTGTCTCAAGAGAGACAAAATTTATTTCAAGGGAAACTGTCTCAAGATAGACGAAATTTGTTTCAAGAGAAACTGTCTCAAGAGAGACAAAATTTGTTTCAAGGGAAACTGTCTCAAGAGAGACAAAACTCTTCTAGTGAAAACGGTCTCAAGCGAGACAAATCTTGTTTTAAGAAAACCAATCATGAGTGAAATAAATCTTCTTTCGAGTAAAACAGTCCCAAGTGAGACAAAGTCTGTTTTAAAAAAGCAATCTCAAGTGAGATAATCATCTGCATTAAATGAGACTGTCTCAAGCGAGACAGAATTTATATTGGAAATGTCGAATCTGAAAATGAATGTCGATCTTTCTGTCTGTCGAGTTGGTTGAAGTGTAGTTTCTTGCTGCTGAGCTAAGCAACCGACATCAATCTGTAAAGGTGCTTTTGAATCGAGTATCCTTCGTCTTGAAGTCGAACTTGACTCTAAAGCTGTAAAAATTATGTATGTGGAAAGAAAATGATAGATATGACGCTCTAAAATGTATGCATAAGATGCATGTAACATGAATTGGTTATATTTTATCTCCTGAAAAAGGTCTGATAATTCGCATTAGGATGTTGAATCCCCAAAGATGCCTCAATATCAAAAAATACCCCAATATTTGATGTTGAATCTTCAAAGATACCCCAAATGTTCCTCATTTCTTGCTTCATCATTGATTCTAAGCATGAGCTTTGTGTTTGAGAGTCACATGTCATTTACCAAGATCCACTCTAGAGAGACTGTCTTGTTTGAAAAAAAAATATTTTTCTTTCTCTTTTATTTTCAAAGTCATGAAAATATCAATTAAAAGAGTTTCAAAAAATGTTTAATCTCAAGTTTTAAAAATATTGCCCCTATCACGGTTTTACAATTGAGACGAATCATAAAACTAGAGTTCATCGGATATCAAAGAATTAATTACAATGTTAATCCTTCAATAAATTATAGCTATTTGACAACTGCCAAGATCCAAGCTATCTTTGGGAGATAGTCAAGTAAGGAAAGGATAAAAAGTCTCAGGTTATTGTGTTTGGTCAAAGGTTTGGCATTTGATGCTCAAAGGTTTGACATTGGATGCTCAAAAGATTGATGGGGTAGCTTGCATGCTCCTCTGTTGGAAGTGTTCCCTGACTCCCAACCTTTGTTGTCACACTCGGATTGTGCGATGCCTTATCAAGGAATTTACGTGATCGCCTCAGTTGCACAATTTTTATATTCGAGCCTCCTTTTCAGGTTTTCAACTCGAACCCTCCTTTGGTTTCAAGACATTATTCAGGATTTACGTCTTGAACCCCCCTTTGTTATTTTTTCTACCATGCATTAATTACATTGTTTTTTTGCAAACAAAGATTAATCCTGATGGGCGGGATGAAATCTGAAGATAGTATCTTCTGTTTAGAAATCCATGTATGATTAGAAGGGACTTTTAAGGCACGTAATGTAGGCCAAGGCTCATGGTTATGAAAGAAAAGGATAAATAGGCCCAAACAAATGTTTCAGGTGTTGAACCAAGGATCAATTCATTCTGATGCCTTCAATACTGTCTTGCTCAATTTGGATCTGCTCATATGTGTTTCTCTGGATGTTCCATGATCTTCGAGTGAAGTGATTCAGAGATTCGGGAATGATTGTGCTTGATCAATCTCATAGTTTGAAGCTTGATGTGCCATTTGTCTTTAGGGAATCTTTGCATGTGCTTTTTGTCCCTTTTTCTTTTTGATTTTTGCTTTTTTTTCTTCTTTTGTTCTTGTTTCTCTTTTTCTTTGTTTTTTTTTGCTTTTTTGCTTCTTTTCTTTTTTGTTCTTGATTGGATCTTCGCACTTTCCATTTGGTCCACCTTTTGGTGTCTCCTTTTGATTGATGTCTTCACTCATGTGAGCAGATTTCTTCCACCTTGCCCCCCAATGTGGAGGGTGATCCTTGGTTAGGGTTGAATCAGAAGAAAAATACTACATGCTCAAAAGGGGACACAAGGGATATATATTTTCTCCTGTTGTAAAGGGATAAAGAAAGAAAGCCGTTCATCATTTCATACATGGAAGTCCTCACAGAAGAGGTATCCCCAGGGGGATAGATTTTCAGGATTAATTTCATTCACATGAAAACAGTGTAGTTAATGCGTGATAGAATTATTTCGAATGAATTGTTTTTTTGCTCCTTGCTCCCAACATATCTCAATGTTTAGGCTCCCGGCGAGATGCCCCAAATTGTGTCTTAGAAGAATGCTCATGTTCAAATGAACAACTCAATGCCTTGGGTATTAAAATTTCAATTTTGAGTCTAATGGTGTGACTTTATTTGACTCAAAGAAAGGTATGGGTGTATCAAAAAGATAAAGACAATGTTCAAGAATTTCAAAGGGAAGTTATGTCAAAATTTGGTCTTTTTGGTAATGATCAAGGTATTTCATTTTGGGGTTTGAGACATGATAAGAAAGGTCTAATCTTGTCATATGTCAAAAATCTATAATTCTTGAAGAGTTAAAAGAATCCTTAATTCATTTAATATTCGAAGAACTAAAGATTAAAATTTGTTCAATTGCTCCACCTTAGAAAGTATCATAAATTCAATCGTTTAAAAGATTAAGCAAACATGAAATATCAGTGACGTGTTCAAACAAAACAATCCTCTAAGTGCAAATGGTATATGCCATGCCCCCTTCTTCGGCTGTCAATGCCCCTGAATCCATCAGGTTTTAGATCTTGCGCTTCAGCGCCTTATAGTTCTCAGAGGAATGTTTGGAGCATCCTATGTGGCAACTACAAATAGCTTCAACATTGTAGCCCTTAGGATATGTGGACTTTTTTCTCAGATCATCTTGGCAGGTTTAGTCGTACAACCAGCTGATTGGGCTCATTCGTTGTGATAGTTTTTTTATGATGTTACAATCTTGCTTCTATGTGGTGTCATGTGGTTAAAACCACTTCATCGAATTCTCCATGAAGAGATTTCATGTTTATGAAAATACTTAAAAAATGAAATGTATACGCAAAATGCAAAAATGCATGAAATGTTCGAGGCATTGATCCAAAAACATGTATGTTATTGTAAATAACCTTTATTGGGACAAAAGTGTTTTATCTTTTAAGAGACAATAAACATATTTAAAGGTACATCCGGACTAAATCCTCTAGGCCCGGAACCGGTTGACTAGTCATTTACCTTCGTCTTTTACCGGTTGAATAACCTGTCGAACCGCTCCGTCCTCTCTGGATGAACCGTGAAAATGTTGAGTTTTTTTGTATTGGTTCCCAAAAAGTGTCGAATGACTTCATCTCTGCCTTTCATCCTTTGCTGAATCGGAAATTCCATTGAAACCCTCCATCAAAGGGATTATTCGAAGTTCATTTGCTTGTTTCTTGAATTTGTCGACAGTGACTTGCCATCTTGTTCTTGTTGTCTTTGAATGGACTCTCGAGGTCAGTAACCTTTTTCTCGTCTTGCCCCTGCCACCTTTGTCAACCCATTTTTGAAAAGTTAACTTTTGATGTACTTGATTGTGGGCACCATGAATGTGACACATAGTTGTCTTGCAAATTGTCCTCATTTTCTTTCTGAGCCCTTTTCGGACCATAGCCGGACCCCTGCGTTCTTATCTCTTGTATTACAACCCCTTTGTCCATTAATGCAGATTATTCATATTTTAACAAACAAGTTTTTGGTGGATCAACACCTCTTTTAAATGATGTAAATAATGAAAACAAAATAAAAGAGAACAAAAGTAAAATAGAGTTAGTGAGATAAATCAAAACAATAATAAAAACGAAAAATCCTACCCCACATGATATCTACCCCGCATGCTTTAATTCCTACCCGGACATGATCTCTATCCCGCATGCTAATTTCACACAAATCCTAACCGCATATTTTTCTAGTTCGCATGCTTTGAACAGAAAGTAAAGCAGGAAATAATTCTGGCATCCTAAGGTTTGAAATGAGGTTTTGGGGTGGGCTCTAATTCTCCATCATCTCCCGGTTTAGGTTCTAAAAAAACGGTACCCGAGTTCTTCTTGTTGGTGCCCCCTTTGGCTTACCAGACCCTTAGTCCTAAACCCATCACAGGCTTGTATGGACTAAGTTAAACTCGAGAGGAAACATTCTCTTATGCCCACACGGAGAATAAATTCACACGAAGGCATAAGGTATATGTATCCCGAAGGCTACTTGCTAGGCCCACACGGTGAATAAATTCACACGAAGGCGTCGCTTTCACCCCCACTTAAAAGGAATTGGAGCTCGGGTATAGAGCCTTAGATGAAAAAAAAAACTTTGAAGGCTGAAATCATGAGAAAACGATTAGTCCAACTATTTACTCGAAAATATAATCAAAAGTAAGTAAAAAGGATCGGAATATTACCTTAAAATTTAAACTTACCCTTTTCGTTAAAAAGACAACTGGAAATTACCTTAGCCTGACTCACTTACCTGTGTCCCCAGCGGAGTCGCCAAGCTGTCGCAACCGTCATTCGGTTGGGTCCCGGAATTGGGCTTCGACTTGAAAAATGTGGATTGGAGTCGCCACCGATCATTTATTTAAAGATAAATGGGTTGATCAGATACCCTATTTCTTACCTGATCTGCGTCTTACCAGAAATATGTCGGGCTCGGGAG